ATACATATAGTTTATTAACAGTATGGAATTTTGATACGTATGTCATATGTCAGCATACGACAGCTAGGGTCAAAAATCATTCCAATAGTGATGCAATTTATAACAAAATACAATACAAACAAGTAGTCCAATATTAACAATAAACCAGAATGAAAAGAACAATGCTAAAGCCATCTGTATCTCACAATATCTGTAAATAAGTGGTACAGCTACTGATCAGGTGATGATGATGGTGTGCTGATGATTAGTTGTGCACCTGGTTGTATGTATAGAAAAACATTCAGTGACAGTTTGTTGTGATATTAAATGAAAAGGGGCTAAAATCGAATGTCTATGAATAGTTTGACAACAAAACTATGGGCTGAGGAATGCAATATATCACAAGGTCTCATCAGTGGCTTCATAAGAATGATGTGGGGCAAACTATCAGACATACTTACAGGCAGTTTAATTTGTGATTGCATTTTATTTGTGGTTTTAGTATATAATTCTCTGTTAGTCCATGTTTCCTCCAAATACCAAACGTGTTAAACACAAGTTGAGATTGCTTTGTAAAAAATGAACAATTCTAAACTTACACTTCTGTCATCTGTCCTTTCTCACTGAGTAGTCACATGTGCCAATGTTGTCTAAAAGACATCTACTAAGTCAGTCTAAGGAATGGTAGAGGCAGAATAAGTGTTTAGGATTGACGGTCTTTCATATCTTGACTTTTCTTGCATATATTATTCTTAACATTTATTCTTAAATATGACAAGCCTTGCCTTCCTCTTATAATATTCAATTAATTAAACCTAGCCATGAATTGTTTTCTATGAATTATTGTGAATTACTATCTCTACCCAGGGTTGTTTAAAGGGTTTCCATTTCAAGTATTGCTCCTGGTTTCTTCCTCATGGCATCTGAGTTTCTCCTTGTCGGTGTCCTATTTTGCTCATTAGAGGCCTGGAGTTTCTGTAAAAAAAAAAAGAAAATGCTTATTAAAACTGCGGTACAAATTAAAACTGATTTTTTTTTATTACTTATAAGCAAAATAAACGATTAAAACAATTTTAATGGCAGTTCAGTCTTCAATAGGTAACACAAAATATATCTACCACAAAGCTATGGACCATGAAATATCACAGCATTCTCCATTTCATCTGGTTATTGAAGCATGCAGTGCACATGTCATTTTCAGTGTCCATTCCGCCCTCCATTTCTTCTGCCTGTTATCAATACATGCAATTTTAGACCGACTCTCCAGACTGCCCAAAATGGTGGTTGTTCTAATTCTCTACTCCACACTCAGGCTAGCTTTAGGCAGATGACTATTAGCAAAAGCAGGTGGCTCATTAATTAAAAGGACTTGCATAATACTGCTTGTACTAAATATTTTAACAATTAAACACCACAATTAATGCTAAATAATCATCAGAATTGAGCAAAAAAAAAGTAAAGCTTCTCTTGCCTGCCGTAACTGAAGGATGTTCTTGACAGACTCCACTTTTGGTGCCTGAATACCAGGTGTTTGAAAGCCTGAAAATGTGATTGCATAAAACATGTATGCTCAGTGCATGGCACCTCAGATTAACCAATAAAAAATTGACCAGTGTTTGAAGCTAAGGCTTGAATAAAAAAAAACGAATTAATTTAATCAGCATAGGCTACTTTATAAAACTAGCCAAATACAGAACACTTTATAAAGATATGTTTCCCCAATAAGCAGAGATTATTATTTTGTCGGATGTGTAAATAGTTTTTAAAAAATAGTGCATTTAGGTGGTTGATCATAGTAAGGTGTAATTTAGATGTCTGATGTATGTCCTGCTTATATTCATATCAGTCGACAAGAATAAGTAACATATATGAAAAACAATAATTAGTACCCACATACTTATATTCATCAACCATAAGAATTTTACATAATTTCTGATGGACTTTACAATACTGTTCTTAATCCAGTCAAAGTTAGACATCCAACAGACATCCCACAGGGAGCATTGATGGATGGACCTGGTTTGGACACAAATAGGACGCCCTCTGTACATTGCATGCTCAGTGGGTTAGTGTAATTAGTACTTTCATTGTACAATATGTGCTTAGTTTATCTGCTTTTAGTTTCTCCTCCAAAGGCATTTTAGGGAAAATTGTATGATAGAGCAAATAATCCCGCTCATATGCATTCATTCCACCCACGACTGTATTTCACATGTGCCATGTCAGTCACTGCTGATGACTTAGATGTGTCAGTGAAGCAGGTTGAACAATATCAGTCCATATGGAAACCAAATCTGAGGGCGTTTCACTCTGAGTAACCACCTGACAAGACTGTCACTGATAGGCTGCATGAATCTACAGATTGGGCCAGAAAGAAATCAGCTCCAGCCTCATGTCTTTATATCATTTGGTGTATTTTTTTTTAATAACCATGGGTGGTGCTGTTGCACTCAATGCATAATAAATATTCACAGTGACTATTACGATTACAGTTACATTTATGTTGTGGTTTGAAAAGCTTGCACATGTGTAACATTTAACTGAATTTAAACTTAGAAAATTAACAATGTACAGCATGTCATGGTCAGTATGACTAGGCTTTCACTTTGAAATCTTCACAATAATTCAACATGTCCTGTATAAAAATGGCCTTTGATTTCAAATGTATCCTCAGACTAAACTATATTGTTGTTGTTATCTGTCTTCATGAATAATAAACTGAGTGTGTGGTGCCCTGGGTTGCAGTGGAACGTTGGCCAGATGTTGGCTTTTGCATAAATTAATCAACATTTGAAGTACAAACCTCATTTGAGCTTAGCCCGTGTACAGTGGATTGAATGAGACACCTTTTTAATCTTGCATGAGAGCAGCACAGCACAAACTATTGTCTAACCCCTCCAGGGGAGTTAAATCTGAGGTCAGATCAGTTGGATTAAGAATAGTCTACCCTTACTTGTGAGACATGATCTGGCAACCTGATTATTCAACTCATTTTTTCAAATGTGCAAATTTATTAATTTGACATACTGCTTGTTTTAACATTTCAAATTGTCATTTAATTTTACTTGACACTAGTTTACTGACATCTTTTCCTAACATAAATGATTTTTTCTTATGTGTCCTGTATACAGTATGTGTGAATCTAAAATGAAAAACAAGCAAGAACAAGTGCAAAAAAAATAATAGGTTATATAAATAGATTTCAGTATAAGAGGGCAAAGCCTTTGCATCCATCCACGTTAATCAATGTGGTCTTTCTTTGTCCTGCAAGCTTCATATCTGACCACTCACATGATTTTTTGATGCGTCACGCAGATGCACACCTCTAGTCTCAACCGGATGCCATGTGAACCTTTCTGAATAGCGCACCTTCTATTCATATCTGTATTTGTATCTGTTTAGAACACGTTATCATTTCATTCAGAATAATGCATTTGTATTCAGTTACATGCTATTGTTTATAATCTCATTATAATGCATGCTACACTTCTGCAGCAGTGCATATCTATTTCATGGGCATGACCTGTGTGTGTCAGTTATGCTTAGGTGTTCAATAGTGCCTTCATCATGCTCCCTTTGAAGTATGGTCAGAGGAATTGGCTTCCTGTTATTTTTGTGCTACAACATTGAAGGATGTTCAAAGGGGTCCTTCTCTTAGTTCATGTGAAGCAGCTGGGTTTGCACCTGTTGCATGTCGTCTCCATGGACACATTAAACGCATCCCCAAAGGCCTTTTTCTGTGTGTGTCGTATGAGGAAACACTAACCTTAGAAATGCTACACAATGTGCTCTGACTGTGTACTAAAGTTCCAGATATATGCTTAAAGATATATGCTTAAAACAACAACCAAATAGCAAAACCTGCCGTACACACTGAGCGCTACACTTAAGCAGATCCTTCAGATTAAATCTAAGGCACAAATGTCATAGTACACTGAAGGCAATGTGTTTAAGCATGTTCTTCTGCTTGTGCGGTCAAACTTTGTACAGGCAAGCTGGAAGCTGTAAATAATTAAAACTGGCTTCTTTATTTTCTTTTCTAACTCTAGACAGAACACACACAAGAGCCAGTGATGCTGGGCTCTTTGCCCAAGGAATGCACAGTCCAAATGAAATAATTGAAACCCGGGACTGTTTGCAGACCTGTTCCAAACTGAAGTGCGGAAAAACAATTGCTCCGCAGGGCATTTATTGAAAGGACCGGCTGATGGACAGTTTTGCTCCCAAGATTCTTTGTAATGTTAGACTAGTCTAAATGAAAAAATTGGTAGCAAACAGCAAATAAGACTCCAAGTTCAAGTGGGATGTAATTTTGTTTTTAAAGTGCTGGGGACAAGAATGACAACAGAAAAAACCTGGCATTATCAATTAAAAATCAGGCGAATTCACGATTAAAGCCTTCTGAAGCATTTCACTGTATCAAGTACATCTCAGGGGAAAAAAAAAAACAAATTTAGCTTTTTAAATTTCCAGCAATCATGAACTGAAAGATGCTTTTGAAGTCTTTTAAAATTTTGTTTTTATGGCTTATATTACCAACAATGAAAACCAAAGAGTGCGATCCTGTAGGCTGATTAAATTTGGCTGCAGCATATAAAGTAAATTCCACTTTCTAGTTACATATGCTGTGAAAAATTGGCTATAAATTTTCCAGTGATTTACTGGCAACAGGGTTATACATTTACAGTAAACAACTAAAAGTACTGTAATATCTTACATAGTACAAAGTAACACACAAATCCAGTACATTGGTACAATATAAATCCAGTATATTCATACACATGCTCATGCTCTTAAACAAAGTGTACAGTATACACCTGAACAGGAAGTTAAGGGTTTCGGTCAAGGACACAACCATAGCCATTTGGTGAGGCTGGCATTTGAACACCCAACCTCTGGCTTTGTAACTCAAAGCCTTAGCCACTGAGCCATCACAACTAGCCTGCACTGAGCAATGCAGTCTTTTTGTTTAAGTTAACTCAGTGGTAGAACTGGTTGACACACTGTAGGTCAATTGAGCTTGTACTGGTGGCTCAGTGGTTGAGGCTTTAAATTACAGATTTAAAGGTCTGGGTTCAAATTCCAGCACTGCCAAACTGCCATGGTTGGGTCCTTAAGCAAGACTCTTAACTTTCAGCAGCTTGGTTGCATTGTGTGTCAATTTTGAGTTGCTTTTTAAAAAAAAAAAAAAAAAAAAAAAAGGTATCAGCCAAATTATGTTATTTTATACTATGTAATATTTTACAGTACTTTACTGTAAATATGTTTACATTTTTTTATTGTAAGAATTTTATAATACTTTATTGGCAACCCTTTTGCTGGTAAATGACTGTAAAATTTACAGTCAGTTTTTTTAGTGTATGACAAAATGAGTCATTTTCTGTAAACAAATTCATGATACAATAATGTAATCATATCATTATCAGGCATCTCGGTTCATAGGAAATGTAATCTGACAGAAAAGCACTCGTTCAGTGTCCATTTATAGCCATCCAGATGTGAGAGTTTAAATTAATCACAGAGGAGACATTTTCTAACAGTCATAAGACACCCTGAGAAACTAAAGACCATGAAGAGTGTTTTTAAAAGGCTACTGAATCAGTTTCTGAACGTTCTCAGCAATTTTATATATATAAAAAAAAAAGTTGCGGGGATAAAAAGGACATATCAAAATGTGGTGGGGACATGTCCTCAGTATCTCCAGTCTAAGGGTTCTACATAAGACTTTCACAGGTCTATTTCCCCCAGAGAGAAATGCCAGAACCCTTAAAGGTGCTCAAAGGAATCGTTCTTTTATTTAAGTCTGTACTTCATACTCAAGTTACACTGTAACTTGTATCTATGATGACATTTATCTCATTTTTTAATTTACACTACATGTTCTTGTTTTCATAAGTATAAGCAATTGTGCAGCTGTAGAACAAGAGCTTCAGGTTCAAAAAATGGCATTAATGTGCACTCTGAATGACCAATATTCCCTCCCCACAGAGGGGGTCTCTTCAGGGGGTAGTAGCCACATCAGGACATGAGGGTAACATTAAGTTGCACTGTAAAACAAGACTAGAAACTTAGATAGGAAATGAGTTAGCATTAGTACAGAAACAGCTCACATCATACCTTCGCTTGACAGTTCAAAACAGACAATTACTTGCAGATTTCCATTCAAGCTGCTCAGCTTCCAACAAAGAGTCCTGCAATCTTATTTCCACAGGCTTTGCAGAATTTTAGCTTTGAATGCACTTCCAAGAGAAAATACTGTCCGTGAGAAGAATTTTGTAGTAACATTAATATAATATTTTGTAAATGACTAAACAAAACATTCTGTGTAACAATGTATCCTATTTAATTGTACACAAGTTATGTGAATCGTCGATTTATGCTTTGTTACGGCTTATAATTCAGTTTAAATAACAGGGAATGGCTTTCCTTAATATCTGAGTCACATGGAACAGGCTCCCTCTTTAACCAAGCCAAAACTAATTTTAGGCATCACTTGCAATTGTAGCATAAGTAATGGAATTACAGCATTTTCCCTCCATAGGAGAAAAGCAGAAATAACTAAAATATTCTGAGCATGTTGTGGGGGGTTACAGTGGTTCATTAATTCATACTGGGATCAGAGCACTGTTTCCATTATAATACATAGAATCTGTGAGAAGTTAGATGTACTAAGTCATTTAATATAAAAGAAATCAACCAAAACCTTCTTCATAAGGTTTTAAACTTAGATATTACACACAACACCAGCAGGAGAATTATTAAATCTTATGACAAGCACATGAATATGCACTTATTTGTCAAATAATTTGTTGATACGTTTATTTCTTTGGACCTCTACAACATTGAGTTTTTCACTGTTTATAACAGAAAGTGAAGTGAAGTGACTTGTGGCCAAGTACGGTGACCCATACTCGGAATTTGTGCTCTGCATTTAACCCATCCAAGTGCACACACACTCACACACACACACCGTGAGCACACACCCGGAGCAGTGGGCAGCCTTTTTTGCTGCGGCGCCCAGGGAGCAGTTGGGGGTTCGGTGCCTTGCTCAAGGGTCTCACCTCAGTCATGGTATTGAGGGTGGAAGAGAGCACTGGTCATTCACAACCCCCACCCCCTACAATCCCTGCCGGACCTGAGACTCGACCCCACGACCTTCTAACCGACTCTCTAACCATTAGGCCACAACTGCCCCCAAAATTGGGAATATTGGACTTTTAGAGTAGTGAACTTTTTGCTACTGAATGTATAGGACCTGCATTAAAAAAAATCATATGAACATTATATGTTGCAAATAGCAAAGATGATGATATAAATGCATAAAGATATGTATAAATGGACATGGTAATGTGCTAATAATTTTGTGAACAAAAAGAGCTTCATATACTCACATAGATATGTTATAGAGAATGTTTTGAAATCCTGCATAACTAACACCCTAGCAATGAAGTTATAATCTTAGCCAGGCTGCTCTATCAGAGGAAAACATTACAGGCTTTTTGAAGTAAAGCACACCTTCCATTAATAGTCTATTAGAGTAAATAACACTTACTTCAAGTGCATTGCTCCTCGATCAAAATTAGTTGGTTAGCAAGGCAAAGATAAACGAGAGTGTGTCATAATTCTGTAAACAGCTCCTAAAGCCATGGTCCAGAAAATGAGAAATGAAAATAAGCTGTTTAGCTGACTCCCAGCATTTTAGCTCTAACAAAAAAAAAAGAAAAGAAAAAAAAAAGAAAAGCTCCACATGGTAATAAAAGTGTTGAAGACTGAACCAAAGGCAAAGATAGTGCTTTTTTTTTTTTTTTTTTTTGATAATGTGGATTATATATGCTCTTGCCTAAAGCACATCCATTATACATGGTGTCTTCCAGGAGAGTCTTTTAGCTTTTTAAAAAAACATATTTTGTAACAGCTGTGATGACAGAAAGTAAATCCAGCATAGAGACACTGCCATGCACGCTTAATGCATTTCCCCTAAACCCCATGTTCCTCACAATGGATCTGCGCAGACGGTAACATGCTCATAAGAATTTCATTTTACTGCAGTTAAACTGTGAGCACTCCTAATCTCTGTACAGTTTACCGTATTACACGTTAAAACTGAATCCTACTTCACACAGATTTGCCTAAAACCTAAGCAACCAAACAGCCCTTACTTGCAACCTGACATTATGATTTCCCTCGTCTGGGAATTAAAATGGCTGAAATAATCCAATTTCTAAAATAAATCCAATTAAACATTCTGACACAGTTCCAGACTTACAGTAGAGTTCAAAAGTATGTGTCTTCTCTTTTATTTAAAAATGTCTGCAAAAATTATTTTCCTTTACATCATGAATAAACATTCATCAAATGTTAAAAATGTTCTTACTTAATGCACAGAGGATATGATTTAATAAAAATATAGGATGTCACAACAGCTTGAAAAATAAAGAAATGGTGTATGGCCTGGATATTCAGATATCTCAGATTCATATCAGGTAAAAGTGGACTTGTCTCAGACTTAATCTATGCATTTCTGAATAGTAAGTTGACTAAAGGTTTCTAACAGTGTCCAATATCTGATCAAAACAGTTCCTAGTAATAGACTCAGACCTTTTAACTGTGGATTATTTTCCCTACATTCATTAAAACATGGTGATTACCTTAACATCTACAGTATCTAAGAGAAAAGAATGACACTGATGGTCGACATCTTTTCACAGTGGCTCCTCTGTGACCTTTATCAGCCTGCTACTTAGAGCTGGGGAGAGACAGCTGTGCACTCCTGGCACTCACTCAACTCTCTCTTCACTTTTTTGACCTTTTACAGACAATCTACTTAACACTCACTTATACAGTCCCGTTTATTTTCTTTCCTCTTGTGCATGATTGCGCTCTAAAAATAAAAAAAATTAAAACTTGAAACACAAGATTCGGAAGTCGGGCTCAGGCCTCTTCGGTTAGCTGAGCAATGTTCGGAAACATACTGCTGATAAATCACTACTGCCCTGCTCAGGATAAAAACATGTGAGGCCATTATTATATTGCATGGCCTCCACACAGAAAACACACAGAGTGCTGATGAAGATGTCCAAAGCCTTGGCTGTAATTCACACTGGCACTGTGCATCTGTCTCTGTTATGTCCTGCCAGGAGCAAAGACAGGAACAGCAGGTGGTCGGACATAAAACATTTCCAAAACACAGCAGACAGTAAATGGATTGTACTGCATGAGGCATCTTCAGTGCGTCACAGTACATGTTTTGCTTATGGTTCCCATTCTGTCAATGTTGCCAACGCCAATGAATCTAGAACGGAGAACACGTGAAATGATGTATTGAGTTCAAAGATTCACATATTGAATTATATATGTTAATCACCCATGTTGCCACAGCTTTCTCCTGTCTCATTTCAGCTAATGATAGGTGTACATTCATTCGTTTATTTCAGTAAGCACTTTATCCTGGTTAGAGCCTGGTTAGGATCTGCAGTCTTTCCCGAGAACACTGGATCTCAGGTTCTGTGCTTCAGAACACCCAGTACACACTAGAAAATTGACATTTATCACACGTGTACACACAGCTGTACACAATGGATATCCATAAATCCTACGCATTCTAAATTACTCTGCTTGTGCATGGCCACACACATTAATATAAAGAAATGCCCCCAAAGCTGCATGTGACAAGTCTTCAAGCAAAGCATTATTCCAATCAAACTTTTATATGATTGTTGTGAGCACTATAATTAACATAACATGACATAATCATACCAGTATAGCATAACATTAACAGAATAACCATTTAAGATGTCCAGATCACTATACTGGTATATCAGCACACACCTATCGTCTTACTTCTCATCAAACACCTTGACTTAGATGGACAGAAAAACGTTGCTTGGATTGTGATGTCCAATAAGCCTTTGCATCATATAAGCAGAATTGTGTCCATCAGTTTTTAAAGATGATGCAATTGATGGTAAGAGATGAGAAAATGCCCTATATAATGCAACATTTCTTGACAATGAGGATATGAAATTTTGTTAGACGTGCAAGTTAAATGAAAAATAAGGATTATTTGAATAATGTAAATAATATAAAGATGAACT